GCGGCGGGAGCGATTCCAAGCATCCCACTCTGCCTGCGTGTTCCGGCGGCCCTGGCGACTGCGGCTCCATTCGTCCCACTGTGCCTGAGTGTAGCCTTGGTACGTAGGGGCGGCTGCCGGGATCGACGCCTTTGGCGTGTTCCTGTGGCGCACGGTGATCTGCCGGTTTTGCTCGGCAAGACGCTCTGTCTGCGCTGCTTGCATCTCAGCTGACGTCAAGCTGTCGTTGAGGATGTGCTTGAGCTCCTCCCGCATTAAGTTTGACTTCACCGTCGAAGGTCAAGATGCGATGGGCATCGGGGGTATGCATTGCGATGTCTGCATACAAGCGTGGCGGAAGGAATGCGCCCATGTAGGTAAAGCCGATGGGCACATCACAAACATCATCAGTCAGGCGCAACGTGCGGAGAGGCTCCACTTCGCAGTGGGCATAGTAGACGAGCTTGCCTGGTGCAATTGTCTGGGAAGACGATGAGAAATGCGCACCTGCCCTTAGCACACGCTGTTCCTCATTGCGGCCAGGGTCCGGCAAGCATGCTTTGGCGATATAGTCAAAGCGATGCATGTCTTCGAAGCTGCGCCCCTCCTGCATCATGTGCTTCTGGAACTGCTCATCGAGTGACCAACGACTTGCCACGCTGGAATAGTTGAGCCAGTTGAGCTTCGTCGCACGAACCACCCGATCCTAGGCGTCCCTGATGACTGTTGCCTCGGCCGACATTTGGCCCCGCTTCTTCGTGGAAGCGTTCAGCTGTCGGAAGTCAGCGCTAATCAGATTTTCGATTGGCTTCCGTGCCCCTGCGGCGGCTGTGGCGAGAAGGCGAAGACGGAGTCCTTTGTTTTCAAAGAACTTCTTTGTCACCTTAGAGGATTCATCCGTCTGGGGTGCTTTGCATTTGAGGCAAAAGAGCATCCCCTTGGCCACAACCGCTTGGCAATTGGAGCAGGGGAACGACCCGAGTGGATAGGGGTCGTCCTCTCCCGCATCGGTTGTGTCACTGTCGACATCCACAGCAGCAGAAGGCTCAACCTTGCGGGTGGCTTTATCGTCGTCCATGGCAACGTCTGCGAACTCTTCCACCGAGGTTGTTGTCGACGGCATCTTCCTGGAATGATGCCTCCCTTGACTTGAGGATCGACTGGAGGCCGCTGACGGTCGCGCGACGGTAGATCCTTTTCGGGGCGTCGGCGGCCGGAAGCACTGTGACACCAAACTCACTCGATCTAAGCTCAGCCTCGTCAGCGTCCAAGTTGCTGTACCACGCCGTTGCAAGGAGATAGTCAGCCTCCTCGTCGCTAACCAATCTCTCGTTGTGGCCTTGGGCAATGCGGATCCTGACAGGGAAAAGATCCTGTCCGATTGTCTCCTTCATTGGGACGTCAATGCCCAGCAACCTGATTCGCCTCTTTTTGTCAGCCTTGGCTGCCCTAAGGAGCTGCCTCACTCCCCATCGCCGATGGCGGCAGTAGTTTAACCTGTCAAGAAGCTTGTCGACATCGGTCCAACATCCTTTGTCGAAGACCAAGCCATGCTGCTCGAGCTCGTGACCACGTAGCAGAAGGGAGAGAAACTTGAGATCGCCATGATTGAATTTCACATCGGCGTCTCCCCGAATGTCTTGTGGATTGAGTGGCAGCATGCGGTGCGCTGCACCGTTGTAGAAGTACTCCTGCGCCGGAGACCCTGTGGATGTGGCTACCCCTTGCGGGGCGCTATAGTCGACGTACATCTCGCGTCTGAGGATGTCCTCGTCTTGGTCGGACTTCTTGGTCGGTGCAGCCTTTGCCGTGGTCGGCGCTGCATCTTCGATCACCCGGCCCGTTGACGATTGAATTGGAACATCATAATCCCCAGCATCGACTAAGTCCACATCGCTTGGTGGTTGATATGAGACTTTGCCGTCGGCGTCTTGGACCACCACGTCGTTGACGCACTCAGCAATGCTCTCCGCCGTGGTGGTGGGTCCAAAGTCCGGCACATCCTCGNNCGGATGGCTTTATCAGCAGGAGGCGTGGTTGGGAGCGTCGTGAGGTCGGCGGCTTTGGCCACATCCGGCTGCTCCCACGCTTTATCCTCCTCCGTGATCTCGGAGTGCTCCTTCTTGATCTTGACACCCTCCCTGGCAGCCTTGATCCTCTCTTTCTCGGCGTGCCAGTCACGGAGAGCCTTTGTGGCAGATGGGCTTCCAGCGTTGTTGGGCTCTTTGTGCTTAAACTGGCGGCGCAAAGGCTTGATCGCGATCTGCATCATCTCAGCCAGCCATTCGGCACGACTGACGCACAGTGTTGCGTGTATGTACGCGGTGAATACCTCTCTGTTATGCTCAGCCTCAGAGGCGTGGAACGCGTCATACAGCTCGAGGTTCCCCACACAGGTGGTCGCCGATTGGGTCTGCAAGCCTCGGTTCGTGAACTCCGTAAACATGGCTTCGTTAAAGTCGTCATAGGCGTTATGCAGCTGAAACAACTCGGAATCAACCTTCCCAATGATCTTGATGAAGCCAATCTCGTTACCGGGCTCACCCTTGCGGGCGGCTAAGGAGTCAGCAGCTCGGCGAATCTTCTTCGCCACTTGCTCGGTGGTCGCTGTCCCTTCACGATACGCAGCCCCAGGAGCGATGCGCGTCGGGATACAGCCCCACTGGCCCACTGGCCACTGATCTCATTGCCGGCCCACCAGACGATGATATCCACCAAGGCGTCGGGGTAATCCACCGCCGCGACCTTGAGGTGTTCCTCGACTTGCCACGCAAGCCATGACAAGGTCTTCCCCCAACACATTGTGTCGTTGCGTGGAGGTAACCGCAACTGAGCGCCACGTTGTCCACTTCAACCGCCAAATCTCCCTTAGTCAGCTTTCCTTTCCGGTTTGCCTTACAAAGCGCAGTAGATGAGTCGCTGACAAAGATGAGGACTTTCTTCCTCTTCGGGCTCAACCTTGCGGTTGGCTTTAGCTTGGAGAGTCCCTCATCGCCAACGTATGTCATCTCGATGAGATTGGGGACCTGGGCTTCGGAATTCGTCAGAGCGATTTGGGCCGCGCATTGGGTGGTAACACCCTGGTAGGCCTCCTCCAACATCCGCTGTTCGGTGCTGGGTCCGAAGCTCATGTAATCGGAGTGCACAGTTGCGCCCGCCAGAAGTTGCTTCATAGCATCCAAGACTCCGTTACGGTCCGGTTCCGAAGTGTTAACCCGGACATACTCATCTTGCACCACGATGGCAGCCATAGCTTTCGGGTGATCTGGCGTTGTGGCAGGCAATTTCGAGCAACAGATCGCTTTGATGTCAGCAAGCTTCTCAGCAGCACCACATGTAGCAACTTCAGAACCCATTCGTACTAAGCTGCAGCTTTGGTGGTG